ATCATGTAAAAATTTCATAGTACGACTGAGTTTATAAGCCATGTTAAAAACAATCCTCTTCAAAGCAAATGATCAAATACGCACTCTTCTTATTGGTAATGGCGCCCCTGGTATGCCTCCATCTGCTATTTCACAAACACCATTCCCGGAAAGCGTAACATTGTGTGTTTGAAAGCTCGTTTGTAGGTTTTCTCGTCGCTAAAACGATGAACGCCACAATACTTCGTAAATGCCATAACGAATAGAGAAGAAGAAATACATCCTACCAGAGATTTACGAGATTGATCACCTCTTAGTTCGACTTACGTTTCAAATTCCAGTACATTAAATAAATATATATATATACATGCATTTGTATATATATATACATACATATATATATGTATATGCATATATATATACAAAGGGCGTGCGCAGCGCAGTGGTCCACCTGCAATACTCATGGGACTGATCTCTGCGCCCTGGGCTCACCAAGCCTTCCATTCCTCCGGAGTCAGCAAATTGATACCAAACTTGTCTGGGAGGATAGCAGCATTGGCTCTCTGTACGCCACCGCGTGCCACTGTAAAGCCAGATATACATTCAATCACCTCCAAACGATGCCTAATGAAATCGAATGCATAGGGTATCCCTCAGGGATTGATCAACGCTTTATCCTTTATTACAGCTTACCTACGTACGCCTCTTCTTTCATTTAGTCACTCACACGTGTCCGATGTGTGGAAGGTCTCTTGTAAGGATATCGAAAAATATCGAACAACCCAAGTGTATCTACGTTTTGGTGTGAAAGATAGAGTAGGAACAGCTGCATCATTAGTTTACTACGTCTTGCAAGAGATTCAAAACAGGGAAGAAAATGAAAAACTGGAAGGATAAAAATTCAATGTTGGCCGCTATCTGGCATTATCAAGAATACAGGACTCAATAGAGGAATATGTCGGCATTCGTTCTTAGCAAGTCAGCACTACGTGTCAATGTGATGAAAATTTGTTTAGAATTTTGGAATTTTTTGAATTTCAAATGGATGATCATTTTGGAACGTGTTTTCAAATACAATGTTTATACTGGAATGTTTCCAAAATACGAGGTAAGGATATGAAGTAATGGTTCCAAAAATACACTAAGCTGAAACACATTAGATGGACAAGCACATTGTGACGACTTAAGGGTTTCATAACCAAACGTCTTGATGACGCTGAGTTCCCAACCATGCTAACAGAATTCGGCTTCTAGCTGAGAGAAAGGCGAAACGAAGGACGCACATGATGTGGTGGTGAACGTGTTAGCCCCCGGAAAGGGTAATAGCGTATTTGAACCCCGCATAGCACTGCCGGAACTATACAGTCCGGAGTTTTGCGAATATCTCAGCATCATTGGGGTTAATATAATTCAATCTATTCAAGTCTTCACAAGATTCTACCATCTTATCGTTGAGTGATGTTCTTACAGGCATCGAACTTCGGGTGTGCAAATATACAACAGACGCCTTAGTTACTCCAGTTACCAGCAACAACGTCCTTCTGCGATATTGAGATCAGATGAACAAACTCCTCCAAAAAATGCTCTCTGTATATAGTTAAAAACAGGAAATTTTCTCCTCCGACGCCTACCACTATGATGGATAATCTACCAAATAAACAGAAAAGGTACAACAAAATATGTGCAACAAGATTAACCCACAAGCAGAAAGCAAGTTAGCTGATGTTGTACGAATCAGAAACCAACTTAAATAGGACGTTAAGTGTTCATCATTTTGTAAAAAGCCTTTCGCACAACATCGGCATGAATAAGCACTTACTTTTTGGATTACCCAGGCTGCACAGAGTTGTTAAGAAAAGCTTTATTCATCAGACATTTCAGCGCCTTTGCACCCTTCAGACTATTCAGCAGACATTCCAGTGCCTTCGCCTCCTTCAGACCGTTCTAGTGATTAAAGTTTACCGTCCACTTCCATTTATTCTTGCGATGTGGGTCTTCGTAGTCACGTCAAAGAATCCAGCGGAGTAGAACATTCTCCGCACGAAATAGGTGAAAACACTCGGCACTCCTTTCTTATATAACACTTGTTGAGTGATCGTCCGCTTATAATCTGTCATCATGAAAACAATCCATCATGGAGAAACCCATAGACTGAATAATGCAAAAAGATATTGGTTTTTCATGCCACGGTTAAATAAAAGTCGATTTACAGAAGTATTACCGCGCTATTTGATAGGCAATTTAATATGGATTGCTGAAGCACAGACAGCAGTCCTGTTCAAAAAGGCACTGTCAGGTGAGTTTACATCAGTCAAGCGGTGCTCCACTTTGCTGGATTTCGACTCTATACGACAGCAAACACTCATATCACACGAATAAATGGCTGCGGATAATCCACTTGAATCACTAAAACTCTAAAGGATGAGAAGGCGCCGAAATGCTGGTCAAATAAAAGTTTTCACCAACCTCATGAAAACTGAAAAATAGAGGAAGATATTTGGCTTCTAATTTCCTGTAACACTAATTGATGTAGTTTCAACCAACCAGTGTAAAAAGCCGATGCTTTGCAATCCATAAGCCTACTAAGTGTGCCATACTGGAAAAACTAAAAGGTTTTTTCTTGAACCTCGGTATCACTAATCAATATGTATTCTTTCTTTGATGAGCTTACACGAGGTTGATAATGATGTTTATTGTTTTTGTTTTCTTCAATGTTTTTTTTGGTGATGTTTGATCACCTCTTAGTTCGACTTACGTTTCAAATTCCAGTACATTAAATAAATGTATATATACATGCATTTGTATATATATACATATATATATGTTTACCATTATATCCACCATCAGCATCGTGTATAAAAGGGCATCACTGAGTAAGGATGCCTCATTCGAAGAGATGGCTCACTGAAGAAGACCTGACTCGACACGAAGGCCAAGCTGCCACGTCGAGACGAATAACAAGCGAGGACCATCGACGCGGATCATTGGCTCTGAGGAAGACGAAGACGTCGAAACGTTAGCCGAAAATGAATAAATATCATTATCAGCCTCGTGTAAGCTCATCAAAGAAAGAATACATATTGATTAGTGATACTGAGGTTCAGGGAAAGTCGGTTTCGAAATATTACTACGCTTTGTGCTAGCTGATAACAACACCGGATTCTGCACGATGTGCGCAATGATGTATGTCCGGAAGAAGAACAAGTTGTTATCACCGGACATTATCATTATATCGACCATCAGCATCGTGTATAAAAGGGCATCACTGAGTAAGGATGCCTCATTCGAGGAGATGGCTCACTTAAGAAGACCTAACTCGACAGGAAGGCGAAGCTGCCACGTCGAGGCGAATAACAAGCGAGGACCAACGACTCGGATCATCGGCTCTGAGGAAGACGAAGACGTCGAAACGTTGGCCGAAAATAAACATCATTATCAACCTCGTGTAAGCTCATCAAAGAAAGAATACATATTGATTAGTGATACCGAGGTTCAGGGAAAGTCGGTTTCGAAATCTTACTCACCAAACTTTGGACCTGTGTCTCGAGCTGACGAATCCTCTCGTCTTTCTTAAGGAGTTCGACTGCATGGTGCTTCTCTTTGGAAATTATCTGGAACAAAAAAGATCAAAAATCACTTTACAATGTGAAATAACTCTTCTACCTGATCTCTTGTCGCAGCAGCTAAACGTTCCTTCTCTCTTTCCATGTTCTCAACACGATTTCTTAGCATAAGAAGTTGCCCATTTTGATGATAATCGTTCTTGTCCTAAAAATATGGTTATAATTCTGTACTCATGATAAACAATTCTGAATAACACGAATATAAATACATCTTCAAAGAACAACGAAGGAACCAAGTTGAAACGAAAAGTGCAAAAATAGTAACCTGGACAGTGAATCGTCCTGGAGTAACAGACTGTCTAAGAAATGGTTTACACGTCTTGATATCACTCTCACCAGAAGCACCTGGTGCTTGTGAATTCTCCATGCGAGAACTTCCTCCACTTTGCCATTGTGTCCTCTCATCCATTCTTTTAGCGTCCCTTCGCTGCAGAATACTCTCTTAAACTGCTACTTTCAGAATGCAAACTTATAGCAGATACAAAAAGCAAATAGAAAGTTGATTGTCTCACGGGTTATTTGACTAGGTTCCGCGAGAACAGGGTCATCGAATGAGTCGTCCGAATCATCGAAGTCTCCTTCTTGTTGCTGCTCTGGTCGCGCTCTTTTCTTAGGTGGTCCGGTGAAGTTACCCAACATAACCAGTGGGACCTAAGAGCTAGAGATTCTTTTGCTAATCTTCTTAATACGGTAAAGATACATGATAACACAGTTCCAAAGGCAAAACCGACACATGTGGCGAACTTTACTGGACCACTATTGACAAGAAATAGCTACAAGTGAGATATTTCCGTTCTCTCAATAACCACCTAGAAAATTACCATGTTAGAATAAAGAACTTTGTATTTAGCACATAAAATGAGCAACAAATTAATGGAGGAATATGCTCCATCACTATGCAGAAACCTCACATCGAATCATTATAAAGCTCCCGCAAAACTTCTCAAAGGGTACCATAAGCTTACAAATACAAGGTAATAGGGACCCCAACATCAACCAACATAACATTTTGAAAACATAAACAAAAAGACATCAAAGTGAGAAACCATAACAACTCTACTTGTTAATACTAAAGCACTTTAAGGATCATCAAACAAGCGCCGATTTCCACTCATTTCTTGACGGAAATATTCTATTGTCTTCTTCAAACCGTCGCGCATTGAAACCTGAACACAGAATATGAAACGTTTAACATCAAAAACCTAATTTAGCACTGAATGAAAGAGTTGCGAAGGGAAGGTAGCATAGTGGTGCTGATGCCGGTCATCACGTACACGCTGCTGGTTTGACCACCACTCCGGGTTTACGATGCCTCTTATCACTGGTTTGGAAATCGGTATTGGACTTGTCTGGGAAAAGCTCACTCCCTGCAGTCCAACTGGAAACACTCTAACTCCGCTACCTCAGGACTCCAAGAAGAGTCGACTCGATCAGTAGTGAACGACAATCACAATGAAAGGAAAAATCCTCAAGCATCAGTCTAATCCAAAGGTAAGAAGTTGTAATACCTTCGTGGATGATAGACGCAAGGAAACCAATCGAATTTGAGAAGTGCTGGGATCCGCACAGTTGATGTGAAAGATGGGTCGTGTAAAAAAAGTTATGTAAAAACGTATTCGCCACCTGAGGTCTCCAGTTCAATTCATTTGCAGCCCTAGAGATATCGGGTTTCCGTTGCTGCGGGTCATCCTCCTGGGAGCCGTGGTTAACAATTTCACTTGAACTACCTTAACAAAAATTTAAGCACATAAAAAATTTACATCGCTAAAGAGGAAGTCGAACAAATTCCCACCAACAAGATCTCTTATTATGTGAGCGAAATCTTTGATGGAATACTCTTCTGGATTTCCAAGATTAACAGGCAAGGAACAATTGCTATTCATAAGAGAAATTAATCCATCAATAAGATCGTCAACATACTGGAAAGATCTTGTCTGCGACCCATTACCATAGATCTGAAAGTCGTTACATCATGTATGTTGGACAAGACTGCTATCACCTATACTTGGATACTTGGATGATCTGTCCTGATTGGTTGTGCAGATCCCAACATAATCTCCATTTTTCGGAGTTCTGGTGGTTTAGTCGTTATTGCTTCCTGGAATTCCGAGATCAGCCTAGCCAAAGTCTGGCCCAGGTTGTCACTACCCCGGCAATCGCCCTTGTGGACCAGAGGAAGATTTGTCACCATGCGACTAGTTTGATACCAGGATGGTAAAGGATCCTGGTACTGGTTTACTCTTAGCTAGGTTTCCTGATGGAAACGCCGGACTTCTTCTTAGCTTGGGAGATTCTGCCAGCTGGATGAATTCCCTCGCTCTACATCGCAGCCCGGCACCCAGGAACATCTCCCAGCCACGAGGCGGTAAACCGTTGGGAGGCTATCACCTATACTACCAAAATGTCCAAAAGTTTGAATAGGATAAAAAGACCACCACAATCAACAGCATAAAACAAGGATATCAAATAGGCTTAAAAACCTCTGAAAAAAAGATAAGAAAGACGTAAAACGTACAGTTATTGGACTATCCTGCAACGCCTGAATAATGAAGTTAGATACAACACGCCCATCACTCAAATGCATACGTGGACCAAACGTATTGAATATGCGGGCTATTCTTATAGAAACATGCTCCTGAAACTGCGTTTACTTTCTAAATTTCATCAAAAATAGGCGCCTATATGACTACCTGCTTATTGTAAGCAACCATAAGAGATTCTGCAACACGTTTGCCTTCATCATAGCAGCTACGTGGCCCAATGGTGTTCACATGTCCCCAATAGGTCTCAGGTTGAGGATGAACTTCTGGATCACCATAGACCTCCGACGTCGATGCAAGCAGTACAGTCGCTTTGACGCGCCCAAAAACTAGTGCCATTCAATTAGTAGAAGAAATGGAAATACTGCTCACTTGTCTTAGAAAGCAGAATACTAATATCACTAACTTAGCTAGGCCTAGCATATTTATTGTTCCCAATATGTTCGTTTTTATCGTTTTCACTGGATTGTACATATAGTGAGGAGGAGAGGCAGGCGACGCCAAGTGATATATCTGATCAACTGAAAAACCTCAAATCAGCTTTATGACAACTTTGTCCACACATGAAGAAGATTAGTAATCAATAACCTTCAATAAAGTACGGATTAACCAAATCGTGATGAACCAGTTCGAAATTAGGATGTCCAATCCAGTGTTCAACATTCCGTTTCCGGCCAGTAAAGTAGTTATCGAGGGCAATGACATAAAATATCACTTGTGAGATAGCCAACTTCTATCTGATGTATTATAACAGCAAGCTATAGCTCTTAGCTTGTTAGTTTTCGTTCAGACGTTCAGAGTGTATTGTACACAAAAGGATAAAGCTCTCGACGCTGATCAATCTCTAAGGGATGCGCCAAGTATTCTTCATGAACCATAGTTTGGAGGTGATTAAATGCATATATGGCCTTTGATGACCCGGGGTGGCCTACCTATGTATCGATCCAGTGCCGTCATCCTCCCAGACAAGTTTGGTACCAATTTTCCGTCCCCGGAGGGATGGAAGATTTAGTGAGCCTGTGATACGGAATCGATTCCATGTGTGTGCTACGGGCGCCTTCGACTACTGCACCACACACTCTGGGAGTGTATTGCAGCGAAAATAATCAAAAAAATAAACAAAGAGAGAAGTCCTATGTTCACCCACACTTGTATTACTATGTGACATAGAAGCAAACCTCGTGACCATCCATCATGAGCCGATCAACCAAATGCGATCCAACGAAACCTGCCCCGCCAGTGATTAGAATCCGTTTCCGTGCTTTCTCATTTCGGAATCGGACATCGGGGAATGTTTTTCTGGAATATAAAAGAATGCTGAAGTGAAGACCTTTGCAGAAACGATTCCTACAGATCCGTACCTCGACCATGCGATAGCGATCTTTTTGTCCAGCATTCCCTTCAGAACCAATAACTCATTCTCTACTGCTTCCAATCTTGCAGCTAAAGTCTCGCTAAAGTAGATGCCATTTGATACATACAAAGTCGACACTCCGAAGCAGCGAAGAATTCAACACAGCACACCAGCACAACCCTATCATCAAATGTTTACGTACGGACAACCTTTTGGACGTAAGCCATTGTTTAAGTGGATTTTGTAACCTCACCAGCAAATAAAAATAAGGAAAGAGAACTTGAGACCACATCCGTAAATGCACCTGGTGCCTATGGATTACCCTGTGGGTAGCACTGGAACAGTGAAATTTACGAATCGCTTTCGTATTTGCCTTTGTTTGTTTAAAGTGGCCTGGCTGCTTATTGATGTAAAAATCATTGGCATGAATGAGAAATACAACCAAAACAAGGTTCTTCACTTTTTACTTAGCCTTCAGATGAAACCTTGTGTCTACTGGTGGCTGCACTTAGGTGAACTCATTAGCTTGAAGCATCCGTTAAAAAACTTAGCAAACCCTTATATCAAAGAACTTCAAGAGAAGAAAATACTGACAAAGCTAGAAATGAAGCGAACTTTTTCTATTCGAAGTTGAGATTTTAGCAGGAAAAGTTCACCAGTTCTACCGTCCTCCTACAAAAGTTTTTTACAACTTACATTCGAAGACAATGGTAGTTCAGACAGATCTTATATGAGGATATTTACAAAGCAGTAAGAGAAAAAAGAGAACGACCTCCTATTGTTCGCCATCAGATACATGCTCCTCATAAAGTTAGTGATAGGAAAAACAGAATAAGAGTACGACCTCCTATTCCTCTCTGTGAGATACAAGCTCCTCATGAAGTTGTTCACACGACTGGTCTCAGAGTCTTGCGACTCGTTCGAAGACACCACTCTGATGCTGTATACGGTCGACATAACTGAAAACACTTGGATACCACGTGGATTACGAAACATCTTCAATCGAATAAGTTAATGAAACTTACACAATAGAAAGAATGCCACGAAAACCATCACAATAATGATTCGAGCCGCACGACAACGTAGCGCTAGACTTGGCCGAGCCATTCATGGAACGAAAGCGGACGATCCTGATCGGAATGAAAGTCCTTAAGAAGTCTTCAAGCTTCACCAGAGTCATAATCACAAGGACTAAAAACTAAGAGCTAACTAGGTTTTTATGGAATGGGCATACACTGTGAGCACGGATTACCACGGAGGGCGCATTGCAACAGCGGCTTTCCGCAGAATACCTGTTCTCTTCGCGGGTGTACAGGTCTTAGCGGACTGAACTGTGCCTACTCGCGTGCTTTCCCATGAGTTCTTGCTTGGTCACGTGCTTTCTAATGAGTTCTAAAACTGATAGGAACTTCCGCTAAAGTATTGTTACCGCTCAGTTCCGCTCAAATCGACAGTTATTTTACCAAACAACTGGAACACACGTGCCATTGTTTCCACTACACTTCCATCGCTTTCTGATCGCACTTTCCAATGGTAGCAACCCATGACCTACTCATTAAGTTGAACCTTACTCATTAAGTTGTGTTCTTCGAGAGTAGTGTTAACAGCTGATTCCCAATTGAATCTTCAATTAATTTCAGTTTCTTTCTACTATCTATCACCTGTCACCTGTATCACCTGTAGTCCCGTTGATCGTTGAGTGACTCGAACGGGCGCTAGTAAATCTTCCATTTTTCCTGTCGCGTGCAAGAGTAGCCCAGTGAGGTTCTGCTCGCACTAGGGACTAGTTGAGCATCACACCCTTCTTCTGCTGTCTATATGCTTTATAATTACGACTTGTTGCTACACATCCGTGATTGTTCAAATGTGCCTGTCCTTGTAATATATTGCTCCTTTTCATTTCCTTTCTCTGGGAATGGAAATTACTAAGCTGTATCATTTTTGCGTATCTAGTAGCCTACAAACAATTCCACTGACTTCTTTTCCTACTTAACCACTTCCACTGAAAACAGAAAGGGTGAAAACGAAGCGCCAGGAATGCTTACGTAACCCAGACACTCATCGTGTCGCCCTAGCCAAAATCTCAACTTTGACGAATACCTGGTTCCTAGGAAGATTTGTGTTACCTTACTAGAGAATGTAATCCGCCGTTTGCTATGCGGTTACGGGGGTTGGAAAAAGTAAGAGCACTCGTCCCTTACAAATTTTCGAGATCCAGCTTGGCCTTGTCGGTCAAAGAGTGTCAAAGATATCACAACAAACTACACTTTAACACTGTTTCCGGTCCAATCCATGTTCTTGAGAATCAAATGGGAAAGGACAGCGAAAGTCCCCGAGTACGACTTTAGGTTAGACGTTGCAACAGTTGGTACCACTGCATGCGTTCTGTGCCGTCTGTTGAAGATCGTTCTCCTTCCATTCAGCCGTGCTACCTCGTGCTAATGTCAAACACGAACATGTCATTTGATCAACATTTTCTTTCTCCACAAGAACATGCTCTTATACTTTGAAATTTTCTGTAAGAAATTAACGAATTCTATCTAAATAGAAACGAAGATTTCCAACAAGTTCCATTGAAACGACCATATGTGTTTAACTTCAACACACGACATTCCTGGTCGCGTATGTATCATCAGGTTTCTATAGCTTTTGGTAGCTTAGACATGCTTCTTTGAAGGTCTACTGGTTAACATTATGCTTAAAGGCCATGGAAATGCGAACTCTAAGCAAAGGATACCGGTAGACTGTCTCATGTTGCATATGTAACGATCCCTTAGGCGAACAGATCAGAACCTCGTTGTGCGAAACCCGAACCCATCACATAACGGCCTTCAACCACTCCTTAACGACAGTATGACGTCACTATATAGGAGAAGATGCTGGTCCAGTGCTTATAAACCGACGTCTAGAAGCTGAGAGCTACATGTCTACTCTTAGCTGGGCTTCCTGGTAAAAACGCCGAACTCCTCAGCTTGGGAGACCCTGCCAATGGCATGAATCCTCCACCCCCTGTACATCTGTATATCGCAGCCTGACACCCAGGAACATCTCCCAGCCACGATGAGGCGATAAACCGATGAAAGGAGTGTTCCATATTGCTTTTGGCTTTTGTTCAACGCTTCGATACGTTCATGACTGACGGTGGAATTTCATAGGTCATTTACTCACAATGTGCTTCATAAAATATACCTAGCAAGAAATCCGTAAAAGAAAACTTGGGAAAAGTGAAGAAATTGTTTAGAAAGCAACTATAACAAGAAGACAAGAACAGCTAGTTTTAGTAGAACTTGATAACAAGAAAGGACTTCAACGATATGCGGTAACCTATCTGGTTGTCATTGCATGAAACTTCCTTGATCGCTTAGGATACCAAACGAACAGGAATGACTGTTATTTCGAAGTTCGTAGTTCGTTTATCTCGTTTGATTTCAGTGAATATAGAGGTACTACGTGAATTGTGACCACAGGGGACAGTATTTCAAAAGCGCCTTTCCTTTAACCTCGTTTTGACTAATCGATATGTATGGCTATGACATGACTAATCAATATGTAGTAATCAATACATACAGGGAACTGTGTTTCGAATGGAAAGCAGCGAAATGTCAGCATTTGTGAAAAAACCCAATGAATAAATAAGGATAATTAATTCTCTGCCAACATTCACTTACTCTCGAAATGCCGATGAAATCAATCGATATGGTGAGGCCGAACATTGTTACTCGGATGTGCACATATCCCAAAAGTAGAATAGCTTTATGAACAGAAATTATGCGATAAATACCAAGTCCGGAGAAGACACCACCAACACGGGGTCGGCGAGCTCACAAGGGTCACAAACACTAAGAGATCCCAAAAGATGCTCACTGATGCTCTCGAGCACTGCTTGTGATCGTAGTAGTAGCTGTTCCACCGAGCTCTGCCGCATCCACTCGTGCAGAATTCACGGGATTCACGGCAAACGCTGCCTGGAAGAACACCGTAGACAGTCACGATAAAGGAGAAATCGATGACAGCAAGAACGTAGTAAGAACGAAACACACAGCTTTCAGATACGTTCTTCCTTTATCATTCAGACAACGTCACTCATGACCAGTAAACCCGTACGATGCGATCAAGAGATGTTTTCTCATTAAGATTCGCAACGAATAACGAATTCTGTTTGGGAAGCAAAGGACTCCTATGGGACATTCCAACCGTCCAGGCACCAAGCGAACAACAGTAATTGTCACGGCAACAACAGCAACAATAAAACTAAGAGGATAAGAACGATGGTGACGTCTAGAACGAATGCCCTTACAGGTGCCGTCGGCCCACGTGCACCCAGTCGTCGATAGGGAGTCCCGCGGCCGTCCGGCGCCCACCCAGTCGGCCGCCTTGCTAAGCTGAGTGGGTGGCATCTCCTTCTTCTTTTCGTCTTCCCCTATGGGTGTAAAAGAACAAGATGAACTTGACAGTTTCCTTACTTTACTTCTGAGTACTATCAAAATTACACTTGACTTTCAATCTCATTCATCTTCACGCTTAGCCTCGTAGGACTTTTCTTGTTTAGCCTTTCTATGATTCATTCTAGTACAAATGCACTTATGAGAAAGAAAAGGTTTTTGTAATATTGTTTGCATGAAGTTTGTAGAAACGAAAGTTCTGCTACGGTTCCGTTCATGCCAAATGTGACATTGAAGAAATCACAATGTCCTAGCCTAGGATGTCTGTACCTCTTCAAGAAGCTCCACCATCAAAAAATCTCCGTTTCTGAGGTAGATTCTACAAAACACTAGACTAACAGACAAGGTCCAACGGCTAATTTCGCGTTCGTGTGGCTACTGCGACGGACGACGCCTAATTTCAAGTCGGTTGTGGAGTGCTACAACTCGTACACCATTCGTCCACATCCTTCTCAACAAAAAGTAGAGGCCAATGGTTTCTTGACAATTTTTTTTATTAATATTACTATTACATGACCCGATATCTCATAGATCACACTGTATTGCGGATCCCAGTACTTCTTGCATTCGATTCATTTCTTCGCATCAACGTTCCGCGAAAGTATTCCAAGCATTTCGCCTTGGTATTTGAGGATTTTTTCCTATTCGTCACATATGTCGTAGTCTCTTCGACGAGTCGATTCTCCCTGCAGTAGTGAACCTGGGCCAGACATGTTTGATTCCAGTTCTCCAATTCCGGAAGGTTGAGAGGCTTGGTGACTCTGGGACGGGATCACACCAACGCCTAGGTACGTTGTGCCGCAAGCGTAATGAACGCGATTACTACCACTGCGCTACTCACTTTCTTTAATAGTGTGTCGTAATTTCGTGATGACTGGAGGACTTGAGGAGTTAAGAAGTTAACTGATTTATAGAAGACACTTTGCTCTATAGGGTTATATTTATAGATTTTTTCTTAAATGTTATGTTCACTTCAAATCTGTCCATAATAAAATTTTCGAAGAGCTTGAGATTTCTTCCTGGTGAGGGACGAAATTTTATAAAATAGTCTAACAGTGCAGAAAGTGCTGTTTCCCAAAGAAATCCGGCACCAATTTCCCGACCCCTGAGGAATGAGAGGCTTGGTTGGCTTGGAGCGGAATCGAACTAGCACGATGCTCGTGATGACGGACATCGCTACCGCTGTGCTACCCACCTCCTACATGATCAGTGTGCTTATTGATTTCCGCAGCAGGAATGATAAAACAGCATAGGGTCTTCGAAAATACATGTATGTCGACAAGTATGTGTAGCAACACAACGCCAGAAGCTGGTTTTTCCACGACTAACAACCATTTGTCGATCATTGGAGTGTTATAGGTGCTCGGAACTTTATAGAACAGGCTTAGCACTATTGCAATAATCCTACGCAATTTCAAATTCAAATATATGCGAGATTAAAACTTCCGAAAAAGGGATAGCGAACTTCAAATTTTAAAATTTCCAGTGCGAATGCAACCGCCGGAAACACCTGAAGGCTAGCCTTAGTTTCGCACCAAATGTGTGATACCTGATGAATGCGTAGGTTATGCTTAAATAGACCACTGGGGTGAAAATGCATTGAGATCAATGCACTTCGCCCTATTTGCTTCCTTTATCCTCTGCTCGACATGCATCCACAGAAATTTCTGTCATTTTTCTTTCATCGTTCCAGCGAAATTTCCTTATCATTTGAACGTTGTATTTCGTGTCTACGCTACTCGCCCAATTCAAACGCTAGGTTTATGGTAAACTAGTTTACAACTGAATTCGCAAAATATGTAGGAAATCCCCACGACCGACTTTCTATTAACCTCGGCATTGATCAAATAATTCTTTACATTCTTGATGAGCAAACACGAGGTGTTATTTTATTTGTTTATTTTCGCATAAGTTGACGTTTCGGTGGATTTCGCCTTCTTCAGAGCCTGGAAAGATCAAGTTGAACGCAATCCACTCAGTCAAACACTTCCATAACCGAACAGAGTTTACTGTTGAATGAAGAATAAAATAACACCTCGCGTTGGAAGTGTTTGGCTGGGTAGATTGCGGACACCTTGACCTTTCCAGGCACTGAGGAGGGCGAAATACGCCGAAACATCAGCTTGTTCTTGTATAAAAAATAAAATAACACCTCGCGTTTGCTCAACAGGAATATACAGAATTGGGTAAGAAATGTTTATTTTTCTTTTGTTATGCTGTGAGCAGTTTAGCCGTATTCTATAGAAAATCGTTCAAAAGATCTTCGAAGCAACTGAAAACTCGCCAACTCCTATCGGTTTCATCGCCATCGATCCGGAAGGGTTAATCACTTATTGGCATGAAGATGAAGACACGTGCATATGCTTTTTTGTGATTTTACACTTTGACAAATGAGTCACCGTCTATTTTCAATGAGAAAATCCATGCGGAGTGGTCTCTACTCTCCGAGAACATACGGACGACAATCGTACATCGCGTGCGAACCGCCGAGGACGAGTGTTCATGCCATTTTTCACGTGATCAGAACGTTTTTAACCCGACAATTTCCGAAAGTGGCTCAAGGCACTGAACATGGAGTCACTTTCGCTTCTTGTGGACTATCTCGACCAGTTCCCATTGCTTCGCTTAGAGTGGTTTATGGAAAAATCCTGTTGCAGATTGTTCCAGATGAAAAATCCAGAGGTGCTGTGGAAGCCTAATTTCGAGATATCGTATAAAGACGGATTTTGAAATTTGATCATCTTTCAAAAACCTGGAAGACCTTTGTTCATTGGCATTTTTTAAAAGTATTCCCTATCGATCTTGACGCGATCGAATTGATTTTGAGACGTGGTGAAATATCAACTATCTATTTAGCTTCGCACTGTAACAGCTTGTTGAGCTATAACATTCGCTTAACTTCGGTACAGGAATCCGTAGCAATTGTGTCACAGTTGTGTGCAAAGACGTTATCTCTGATTGGGTTAGCATATTATTAAAGGAAACGAAATACTTCTCGACAATAGTCACGTTCGCAGCGAAGCTCGTCAACACACGGTGTTACGGGGACAACCTGCCTTCTTCGGCCTATCATTAGACAGCTCGCCGTCTTGAGGTTGTCATTAGACCTCTTGCCAACTTTATTATTAGACAGATTGTCGAGATGAAGCTATTATTAAGGAGCTTTCCAAGTTCGGATTGTCATTCATCATAGTTAATTGGCAGAAATATTACAGTATTCTGGGGCGGTTTGCATAATGGCGGGTTCCGATGAAAATAAGAGTGAACCAGTCACAAGAGCGAATATACTGGATTCTGATTTATCTCGCTAATCTTTATTTATTTCAGTGTTGCATTTAAGCACTGTTTACTTGTGATTCCTCCATTCTTTACTCTTTGCTGTTTCCTCAACAACTCGTATTCAGCGTCAATTTTGATGACTGTAAATAATAAACGAAATTTCTAAGAAATTAGCCTTTGACCAGGAAAGCGTTAACAGTTCGTGCAGATCCGGTCTAAGTAGAAATTTTTTTATATGACCCGTCATCAAACCTACGGATTCCAACACTTCTCGCATTCAGTTCATTGTCTTCGCACTCATCGTCCACGGTGGTCTTCAAACATTCTGCGCGCTATTTCAACTCCTGCTTAAAGATTTCCTTTTATCTATGGATGTCGTAGAATGCTGGTACAATCAAATCTCATTGCGATTTTGGGGATAGCGGGGTTAAGGCGTTCCCACGTCGGTTGGAGGGGAGGGGGGGGGGGTTGTGCGGGGATGAACTAGGGCACCTTTGCTTCCTGATCGACGGCAGCATTAACCACTGCGCTAACCCCTCCCTTAGCAGATATTAACAAAAATTTTATGAAAAATTAGGCCAGAAAGTGGTATTCCACTGAGTTAATATGTGAGGTGATCTTTTTTTTCCCCTCACATAACCCACCATAATATATCGTTTTCTACAGACCCCATTGTTTCTTGCATCCGGTTCATTTCCATCCTTTCCATCATCCATGAAAATCTTCGAGCTCTTTGCATGTGGGTTTGGCTGATGCTTGACGATTTTCTTCTCCATTATGAATGTCGTTGCTGTTCGAGTCAGTTTTCCGTGAAGTTCTGGGTTAGGCGTGATCGAGCGTTCCCGTGTAGACTGGCGGAGGTGAGCTGATCCCAGAAAAGTTTAACATCAATTTTTACCAACCCCGAAGGGATGAGAGGGTTGATGAGGTCGAAGCTGGCCAAACCAACTATGGGATTGGTTGGGCCTTCTATGTCCCACGATGAGGTAATCTATACGCCAAAAATGGGAATGCACTAGAAGAAGTTCCCAGCATTACGAACAGTCAGGAAACTGAAAGGCGTAGAGCTTCTTGTTAACCTTATTCGAAGATTTTTTACTTGAGGGTAGAAGTTGCCTTTGAAACAAACAAGTGAACGTAATTTTTCGTGCCGGCACAATTGTTGGTGTTCGTTTATTTGTGTCTGATCCTCCGTTTTATTCATAGTTCAGATCCCACTTATGTGTTTTTTTTTGGGTTTCGCCTATGATTACCTAGCTCCATTACCTTTTGTTGTATCCTTTTGTTCCAACTCGAAATTTTGTAGAAAATGAACTGTTTCAGCGCCATTCCTAGTATGACAACTCGTTTATGGAGTTGGCGAAGTGTACGATTACGGGTGGCAGTATGCATTGCTCTTGCGCTCACCATAGAAGGTCTCATGAGGAGCAATTTGAATATGGTGACTCTACATTTCTATACTTCAACAATTCTCCTGCAATAGAGCGTTACAACGCATATACGCCTGTGCCTAATTTTGTGTGGGCGGATGACACTGCGCCTAATAAGGTTTTTTGTTCGTTGTACAACGAGGAAAGCAGTTTTCATTTACCACATCTAAGAGCCTGACATGTTGGACAGAGCTATTGATTGACGAAAGCAGTATGCCAATAAAACCAATTGCAAAAAATAAGTCGACGAGTACATTCATTGCATTCAACGCATTTGGAGAACATGGTAGCTTCCGATTCTGCGTTGACCTAGTGGGGCCTTTTGAGATATACGAGGTGCAACATACGAGAAGCTTAGTAATTCAAAAGACGGCCTTTCTGTAGATCTCGGCATAAATAGCTGATATATTTATTTATATGATCTTATAAATTGATTTTTTTGAGCTGGTGCGAGGTTGGTGTAAGTCTTCATTGTCGTTGCTGTTCGGTGTTGTTGGTCGATGGCTGACGTTTCGACAACTTCGTCTTCCTCAGAACCGTGCTGTTACGAGTAGGACTGCGACCGTCGAGCTCCACTCTCAGGAAGGCGAAATCGCCGAAATGTCAGCCATCGGCCAACAGCACCAACAACAACGACAACGAAGACCTATACCAATCCCGCCTTAGCTCGAAAAGATCAGTTTGGAAGATCATATAAATAATTACGAGAAGCTATTGAAATTGAAACTTTTTGATGCTGTAGAAATCGAATCGCGAACGCTTTCAGTAAGCAGTATGGCTTAGAAACACGAGTTCTCTTGCCAAAATTTGCGCGGATTTTCTCAATAACTCTGTGCTTTCAATAGATCCACTGGCTCGAGTAGGCGGTTCTCGTTGAATAGCTACGTAGGTGAGTTTTAGAACATTCTGGAAGTGCCTGTATAAGAACAGCAGCAGTTTATAGGCTATGGTGTGCATGCTGAACGAGACTGCTTTTGCTGACGGCCGTTCTCTGAGGGGCATCAATCACTCGACGAAGTGTGAAGAGCTAAGGTTCGGTAACGAAAAGGTTTATAAATATGTGAGTCATTATTCGTATTTCTATACAGAATTACTGTTAACGATTTTCTTGAATGACTATGAATAGAAATGAGAGAAGGTGGGAGAGTCACGATGTGATAGGATAAGGTAGGCATTATGACGTTAAACTGCAACATTTGTCTTCCATTTAAAACGTTATTGCCCAGATAGAAGCGAATTTTGGCGTTGCAACAACTCCATCGTTTAAGGGCTGAGGGGTTGCTCATGTTCAGGTGATGGAAAGGTGGATGGTATGACAGATTCTATCAGGATTAAACGATTAAATCTTTTTGGAGATTTCATGTAGGTTCTTCTTCCCACTACTTTAACGAGTTTTATGAATCAGATATGAAAGTAATAAAAGTGGTTTCCTTGCATTGACAGGGAATATTTTTAAGATTCGTCTAAGATTCGAATGTATCAACTTTTTATTTACTTTCCACTTCTGTTCAACAAACACGAGGTGCTGAACAGAAGTGGAAACACCACTTCCCCACTCACGTAAAAGGCGTTTAGGTGGATTTCGCCTTCCTCAGAGCCTGGAAAGGTCATGTTGACAGCAACCTATTCGGCCAAACACCTTCATAACCAAACAGAGAAAACGTGAAACTAAGATTTCAATCTCATTCAACACAGCTTTGCACACCCACCGCTTTCTATGAGGATTCCACTAAGTATGTCGCGTGAACACCAACCACACAGAATTCACGTGGAAGCGCAATGTGCCCCTCCCATCAGAATAACAGACTTATATACTGCCCTATATCACGCGTGATAATGAGGCATTCTTCCCTGCGATTCATTTTCGGATTTCTGGAATTAATCCAAATTGCCTCGAGAGTTTTGCGCGCTTGTGTTCTTGATTCGTGTGCGAGGATCGTGACGCATACTTCAAAGTCCTCCCTGTTATGTCTATGGGTCTTAATCGTGCCTAGCGGTGTATTTGGTCTGTTTGCCGGCTAGGTGTTCCTTTTTGCGGACACAGAGGGGTCTGTCCGTTTCGCCAATGTATTTGTCTCCGCACGTCTTACAGGAGATCAGGTAAACTATACCTGAGCTCATGCAATCACCGTCTTTACCATTGAAGCAAATTATGCAATTTTACGTTGCACATAGACGGTCATATAGTCGGTTACGAGCTAGCTGGCGCCTAAGATTACTCGGTGACATTTCAACTACGTTTACCGATTTCTCTAGACCCACCCTTCTTAAGCAGCGTTTTATAGTTGCACTTATATCATTTGAAATGAAGGGTAGGATAAACGGGACCCTTTTGTCGCTAGAGTTATCGTTTGGGGGCCTCCGATTTCTCCTACACCTATCCCGAGCTATAGTTTCGTAGCCATTGGAAATGGCTATTTGCCGCGCCAAGTTCCGGGACTCCTCTCTCTGCTCTCTTCCCATGCACACGTTGGTTGCTGTTCGAAACATATTTCTTACAAGCGCTCTTTTCGTGTGAGAGGTGTGAGAAGAGAGGTAATGTACCAGGATGTTTTTACTACTTAGCTTTCGGTACCACTTCGTAATCTAGCCATTTTCTGATAGGTTTTTATTTACTGTCTATTATTATTGTGAAATACAACCACAATGAGGCCGAGATATTTGCAAAACTTGGAGCCCAGGCTAGATCCGAATCCGTGATTACTCTTTTCGAGGGTTAATTTGTTGCCCACTGCGCTACTGAGGCCTTTGCTCTGCCTTTCTCTGAGTTAGTTTTTTTTTGCTGATGGCACTCGTTAGCTTAAAAAAATAACTGGGAGAAAGGTAATGCAAGGACCTTAGTGTTGAAGTGGGTAAAATGTGAGCCCCAAAAAGTGTAATCCCCAGTTCGAATCTGGCCTAGGTCTGTATTTTGCAAAAATCGTGGCTTTTTATTGGTTTATTAAAAAGTATTTTGTTTAATTACTAAAGGTAAGTATTGTTGGACCTCCTTTATTCATGAAAGCACAATCGACTCTTTGACGACAGGGCTGCGTCCTTAAAATTTCATTTTACTTAATTCTGTCAACCGTCAATGAATGAGGACAATTGTATACTTACTTACTTGGATACTTGGTGGAACTCTCAGAGAAGGTATTGACCAACTAACGGACCCAAAACTCCACGCTCAGCTTTCCAACTCAACAGTCCTCGCAACGCTCGGTTATGCAGCAGACACGTGGGCTTATCTCTTAAAAACGGCCTTCATTAAACCCCGCTAGCAATAAATAATTTTCTACATGATTGAGCTATCACGAATCACGAGTTGGTATAAACTTTTATTCAGCTAACGTTTAGGCACCTTCGCGTTCCTCAGAACCGTGTTTATCCGAGTCGATGGTCCACATGGACACGTGGTCTGATACTTCATCCACGCCAAGAACTGCGCGCCACCCACAGAGCGCTTGGGTGATGTCTTCTGAAATTTTACCGACACTCACATCGTCCAGCAGGAATGCGCAGCTTCGAAACCTATTTGATCTTCGGGGTCCAAGCAAATGTAGGTCGATAGTGAAGCACAGACAGGCTGGTCATGCATCGGTAGCGAAGCACAGATCCGCCGATCACAAAAAGAGCAGATGACAAATGGACGAAAAGAACATGGGGATAAACTCTAAGATAATGCAAGCGCCTCCTTGGAGGAGCATCCAACCGATGAGTGGACATTTTCATGGCTAGCGGCAAATATCTGCACTCGCAGATGGCTACGACTTCAGGATTACGGAATGGACCTCGCGGACGTCACGATATTCAAAGCAGACCGCCACCATGGACGACTATTTGTCGGGAGAGAAACAAGTGGAAATTGCGCTGGGGCTCGCACAACCAGTGAATACGGGAATTCCAAGTATCCAAGTAGGTAAGTAACTGGAACACTCTTTGCAGAAGAGACTATGATGCGATTGCTGATTCGGCAGACTGAGACTGCAGAGGAGGAAGAATGTTCTTGGATCGAACTGATGATACGGTTCTGGTGTAAATGCATCGACGAGAGCGACACAGTCACGAATATCTGTCTTGATCTGTATGGCCAGTCACATTTGAAGCTTCTACGCTGCAAACTGGAGGGATGGCGAACAACAGCATACTTTACGTGGAGAACAAACTTGGCTTTGCTCAGATCACCATCCGTTACCGTCGCAACTCTTTTGGCCACATCGAATTGAGGTCTCGTTGGCTGCTTCATTCACACTTTCTACACTTTGTAAATCGGAACTGAATGAGAGCATTACCCGACACGTTCGTCTCGTAGAACTCGCAGAGAACGAAGGCTAGGTTTTTGGGAGCGAACGGGAGGGTGGGCACCAACCGTGACATTGATGAGCACTACAGGATTGCACTTGCAGTGAACGAATAAGAGTCTGGGTTTTCAATAACGGCGACTGACTGCGGTGACTAGCTAAGAACTGGAGTAGTTACACTGTGTTGTCATTTGCTATTCACTTCGGAAACGGTTTCTTCAGGACCTCATTTTTTCCGAGCTTTGAAAATCCCTTTTGTGAAAAAAATTATTGTGTCACTCTCAAAAACGCCAACGCCAACTTTTTATCCAGGCTAGTCTTTCCGGGAAAAAAAACATACCTATCCTAAAAAGATTCTAAAGATCCTCCCAACGGTTTACCGCCTCATCGTGACTGAGAGGTGTTCCTGAGTGTCGGACTGCGATGCGCAGCGGGGGTTCTTCCCCGACAGGGTCTCCCAAGCTGAGAAGGAGTCCCGCATTTCCATCAGGAAGCCCAGCTAAGAGTAAACCAATACCAGGATCCGCCACCCTCCTGGTATCAAAATCCCATGGTGGCAAATCTCCATCTGACCTACAAGGGCTGAGGTTGCCTGTGGTGGTGAAGACCTGAGGCAGACATTGGCCAGGCTGACCTCGGGATTCCAGGGAACCACAATGGCTTAACCAGCAAATCTCAGAAAAATGGTGATTATGCTAGGGCCCGCACAACTAGTGAAGACGGGCCGTTCAAATATCAAGTAAGCATCAAAAAGGTCCTAAAAGGCATTCATCGTTTTTTGTACTTTTCAGTTGTCGCTTTTCGCGAAGAAGGATCACACGTATGCTGTTCACATGACATGGGAAAGGATATCCATTCAGATAAAAAAATAGTGTGAGATATCATGACGAGTGTGGCGCAGTGGTTAATGGTATCCTGTAGTGTATACGTGTGTTTTGCTTCGAATCTGCGACCGAGACTGAAAAAAGCTCGCCATTGCCGCTCGGTAAATTTGTACCAGAGTTATCTGGAAAGTTAAAAACACTGACTTGATACATTGGTGAGCCACCATGAGCACCACATTGTGTGGACCAGATATGCATTAAAGACTGCGATGTTTAATGGAGTCGAATGCACGGCGTGCTTCCAGGAGGTTACTTGCCGAACCCTTTATCCTATATCTTGTCATGGTACCCCGTAACGTGTAGCACTGAGAGCATTAGTTCTCTCGATTCATTTCTAACTTTGAAATCTATTAGACATTAGGTTTTACGTGATGATGTTTTTGATTCTTGTGGTAGGACCTTAATTTTGACCAGGATAATGTGTGATAAAGTTGTATTCTAAAAGTATCTAGGTAGCGTCGAGGACGAAAATGTAGTCAAACCCAGTAATGACTTATGTGCAATTTTGCTATATATTCTAATATAAATATGAAGATACGGCCACGGAAAAACTCATACGAGCCAAGTGGCCGTCGCACAGTCGTCATTACTTTTGAAGAAGAAAGTTTTTTTGTGCAGAGTATCACCCACAATATAGGGAAGTGACTGCAGGGCGTGAAATTCAACTTCTACTACACACAGAACCGATACCAGTTGGTCTCAATCCCTGTCTGGATGTGCAGCTTAGTCAAAACAAAATCGTTCAGAACGGTGATCTCACTTGGACTTCGCAACAACGTGCTGTGATCTTTGCCTCATTTTATGCTGGAGGCCTTATCGCCACCCTTATCACTGAGGTAATTTTACTCAATTTGGTGTACCCGCATCACTTGCGGTTTACGGATGGTTTGCTAGTGTAATATTTTCTCTAATTCATAGATTTTATTGCATGAAGATGCGTTCTGAACTTAGGCTATAAAAGTAAGATGACAAGGGAAAAAAAACCAAGGTGTAATGGTCATAACCAGCATTTCCTGCCTACTGCTACTTCTAAAGCATCAACCGGAAGAAATTTACGAGTTAATCTATTTCTCGCCTCTCGCAAAAGCTCTTCAACTAATCCACCTAGTGGTGTTGATGCGCACTCAGTTATTGCTCTACTAGACCTCTCGTTACATTTATCTTCAATATTGATTTTTCGCCACTTAGAAAAACGGGGGCGCGTTCGGCGCAGTGGTTATAGACGCCCTGCTTTACACGTGGGTTTAACCCCGCGCCCCAGGCTCATCAAGCCTTCCATTCCTCCGGGGTCGACAAATTGGTGCAAGACGTGTCTGGGATGATAGCCGCACTAATTCGATATATTGGTGGGCCACAAGGAATCATTGCATAGGCCAGATATACAGTTACCCTCAACAATGTTTAACGAAGTCGGATCCTGGTACATCCATCAGGGTGTGATGGGTATCATGTTAAGCACCGAGAGCTTTTTACAGCTTTTGGAAAACGATGCGACATACATATCATGTCTTTTAACAATCTGAGAAAGTGGTAGTCTGTGTATAGAGGTCGAAAGGCCGTCACGAAGAATGACCATTAACATTTTTCTGTTTAGAGGCTTAATCGTTGCATGGGTGCGAAACGTCTCGTGTTGTACGGAGCTATCGTAAACGTGCTAGGCACGTTTGCCACTCCTACGGTGGTCAGCTTTTTCGGTCCCATTCCAATGGTCGTTCTCAGATTCATCATGGGCTTCGGACAGGTACCATAACTGAGATTAGACAGCATTTAACCGTTAGTTTATTATATTTGTAACAAAGGAAGTTTGCAATGTAGGGGAGAAATGGAAGAATGTGCAAGAGTACGGTTAAATGGAGGAATGTGCAAGGGTGTGGTTGCTTAAAAATATCCACCCTTCGTACTGATATTGAACTCAAGGAAAGGACCCATATTTTTGTAATGAACGCTTGATTCTGTTTTATTTGCCATCAAGTTTTAATAGAGAGCATTTTTCAAAGTACAAAAGAAAATCCAGAGCACAAATTCATTGAAGGATTAGGGGTTCTATGGCGCATTTCTAAATGTATTCATTAACTGGAGTTCATAAGGATAGACATAGAAATAGTTGAGGTTTCGTTTTCAGATGGAAGAACTACTTGTATTCAGAAAAGTTGAATTCTGTTCCAGGGTCTTCTATGGCCGTGTATGAGCGTTTTAGTGGGTCATTGGTTTCCTGCCACAGAGAAGAGTACAGCACTGGCCATTACTACCACAGGGAATCAGGTTGATTGCTAGAACTCCTGCTTTTTTCCCAACACTCTCCATTAAAATGTGACGTGATTCTTATTTCTCCCTGACTCTTCTACGTTCTCTAAGAACGACCTCAAGTAATCATTGTCACTTTCTACACAACCATTGTTAAGGATTAAATTGGTCAATTCTTTTTTTTGAAAACTGAGAGCTAATTAGACATTAGCCTTTTCTAGCTCTCGGTCGTAATAGCCATGTTTGCCACTGCCGAGCTGTGTCAATTACCGCTATTCGGAGGATGGCCAATGGCGTTTCACACCTACGGTATGCATCATCCGTATTGTCCGATATCACGATGTTACCTAAAAGCATTTAGGTGTGTTTGGTGTTCTGCTGTGTATTCTATGGCAAATTTTCGTCGACGACATTCCTGTTCACGCCCTAGGAATCACTGACGAAGAAGTTCAAGTTATTACCAACTCGACGGGCCACAAGCCTCGCATCCAGGCACTTAATATCTATCGCCGATACTTTTCATCCTGTGTAAAATCTGGCATCGTACCAGTCTCTTTTAAGCATTTATTGCATGGATATGGTTGGGAACCTTTTAGAGGGTTGAGATTTTGTTATGAAGTTAATTTTGAGGTTTTTATTATAAATTTTGAATATAAGTAATGAACAGACAATATATAGGGAAAACTTTTTGCAATCTTAACCGTTTATTTACTGCCCATTCTTCGGCAAGGTATATTGCGAAATATAACTGCAATGATGCTGAGATATTTGCAAAAGTCCGGACCGCAGGTGTCTGTGGTGGGGAACGAACGCGCTATTGTCCTTTCCGGGGAGTAGCGCGTTCACCACCACACTATGCGGGATCTTCGTTTCGCCTGCCTATCAACTAGTTCATGTCTCTCAGCATCATTGAAGTTATATTTCGCAATATACCCTGCCGTTAAAAAGAGTAGGAAGTAAATAAACGGTTAAGATTGTGATTATAACTAAAGCCTCAACTTAACTGGGTTCACTGCCGATTTGAGCTTCCCAGATCAATCCCGCTGGCGAATGATTGCTGATGGCAGAGGTTGATAGAACTAGCTGAGCGACAGGCGAAACGAAGCGCCCGCATAGTATGGCGGTGAACGCGTTACTCCCCGGTAAGGACAATAGCGCGTTCGTTCCCCACCATAAACACCTGCGGTCCAGAGTTTTGCAAATATCTCAGCATCATTGAAAACTTTTTTACTTAAGATGAAAATGAAGGCTAGTATTGAAACCAGAAGTAAGTTGCCAGAGGCAATTTCTCAAAGAAACATATTTTTTTTATTGTAATATTAACAGAGTAAGGTGAAATAAGTAGATGATAGCAGTTCAAGCGGGTAATCTCAGAGAGCTAACTGGGTGCAGCTGCTATCGTCTCCAGTAGTGTGGTCAATAGCTGGCAGTGCGTTTGCTCACAACTTCATTACCGTCGGAACCGTCACGTACTTACCGTTCTACTATAAAACTGTGCTGAACATGAGTCTAACATCGGTGAGTAACATATTTCTGTATACTTCCTTGGAAAGTGCATTTTCTAATTTTTTTCTTGTTAGTTATGCTAACTCCTTTTTGAATTACTAATGCTACCAAACTGACTTTGAACGACTAGATGCAAATACTAAACTTGCTAGATCATACAAATCTAAAGATATTTTTACCCTCAAACGTGATATAAATAACTCGAAATCATGACAGATGACGGTTGTCAGAATTCAATTGAGGTAGTTGTAATACCTAATGTGTTCCGTCTTTCTTTCAGAATGGTATTCTCTCGGCGCTGCCGTTTATCTTTCAGTTTATTTCGAAGATCCTTTATGCTGGATTCGCAGACGAGTCGAAGAATAGAGGGTGGATGAGCTTTACCGGTGTTACGAAGGTCTGCAATTCCAGTGGTAGGTTCACTTTTAACTTTTACATGCGAAGTTGGGACAACAACGTGTGTCACATCCAACCGTAGATTGTCATCGATCCTCGTACCATACGAATACGTCGCAATCGCCTATCAGCTGCATAATATTATTATCGGTTGCTGTTACTATCCGGATGCCTGCACTTCCTGCATTCGCTTCATTTCCATCTCATAAGTAATCCACGAAAATTTCCGGATTTACGGGTTGGGATCCCGCCTTAGAATCTTTGCAAGATGGTAAAAGGATAAACCGTTTGACGTTGGTTAATTTCTCAGGATCCACGCATTCGACCTCATCAAGCCCCATTAGAGAGCGAAAGCGAATGCATATCTGGATCATACAATCACTTGCTATAGTCAGTCTATCAAGTCAGTGCTGCTCTCTTACGAAACAAATCTAGTACTAATTTACCGACCTCGGAGGAATGGAAACTGGAATCGCGGACACAAAACTTGGCTGTGGGATTGAACCAGCGATCGACCCCACATATATTGTAGAGAACCTCCAGTCACTGTGCTACACACGCCTTCAGAGTGGCTCCTATTGTTCTTAACTGCTGTTAAATGCTAGTGGAATCGAGTCTCCTTCGTATCCTGGGATAGCCGTGTTGGTATGTTCGCAGATCCTCGTAACAGGCAGTCGAAATCTTTTGTTTATCGGAGAAAGAAAGCTGATCCTAGATTTTTTTTCCAATTTTCAGACTCCCGAGGGATGGTGACCTCGATAAGTCTGGAACAGGGTGGAAATTTTCGAAAAAAAAAAGAAATTCTTCATTTTAGAGTTACTGAGTATAACAATTGGAAGGTTAACACATGGAGTGGTACTTGGTTTTCTTGTCTCAGGGTAATATCTGGCAGTAGCTAAACAGTTTATTGTTAGCGCGTTTCAAACCACTCATATCATTATACTGAGTAGGTGTCAGCACTGGTATTTGTAGCCTCGCTTGGACTTGTCGTCTGCTTCGGCCTACTTTGTTTCTGCGATTGCACGCACAGGTTGGCCGCTGTTGTTCTTGTCTGCTTAGCCATGGCTTTCGTGTCGGGCTATATTCCTGGATACAATACTAGGTAAGATATCATCAGTATTCTAATAAGTTCTCATGACACTTAAATGCTTTTGCCTGTTAGTGTGCACAAAAAAGTTACAGTCACTACCGGAACTCTCAGTGCAATCCATAATTACTCCTTTCTTTAAAGCGTCGTTTCAATCGCTCCGTCTCAAACGGCAGCTATCGCCTCCTTCAGCAGAATATGGGCTCAGGTAAATTTATAGTTCATGAGTCTGTTTTCTTTCGAACTAGTAATTGCTAGTAGAACTTCATTAGCCTAATGGATACATGCTGTTTCCAGATTGCTTCATCACTTTCTCCATATCAAATTGGAGCGCTGACTAAGCAGGTTCGTCAGTTATACATTTAGTATTTTAATCTACCAATAACCCGATATTTAGTATGGAAAGTAATCTTTTGCGACACAGTAACACCAACACAGGAAGAGAAAGACGGAAAAGATGAAATGGATTTATAAAATGGATATCATAGGAGAGAGTGGGTAGTGCAGTGGTCGTGATGCCTTTCATTACGAGCAAGACCATGGTTCGACCTAGTCCCTGCTTACAGACCTCCCATCCATTTGGGGTGAGAAAATGAGAAAATGGTTCCAGACTTGTCTGATATCAGCTCACCCCCTGTACTCCAAATGGATACGTCCTACCACAGCTATTCCATGACTACATAGAGACTCGACCAGCATTCAACGACATTTATATGGAAGAGGGAAATCTTCAAGCAGCACCCGCACCAAAGTATGAGATCCAAGGTGCTTCGTGGACGATGGATGCTGGAAAATGAAGCGGATGGAGGAGCTGCTGGGATTCGCGCAATATCATATGTGATATCGGATTGTATAAAATGGAAAAAATGCCACAAATAGACACTGACAAATATCACTTATTTTTGGGCAGAACTATGGGTTGTCTTTTGGAACGTTATGGCTAAGTTTTGGACTTAAGGAGCAAAGTGCTTTCAAAGTTAATAGTTGCTATTCAGCGCAATCTAAGAGCAAGCTTAAATCACTGTTTTGCTCCCACTAGCTATCGGAAGTTTCGAAATGAGAGGTTTAGCTCTCACTAAGCGCGCTGATATGGAAATTTCTAGGTTATAAGGAAAAAAAAAGTTGTCCAACCAGTAAATTAAGTAAGTTATAAGCTGTCCTTGTCTCCGTGTTGTTCGCGAAAAATGTCAGTGTTACATCGAAGTATCACTTGTACCACCTGTTGTCCCACTAATGGTCGAACGACGCGCGGGAGCCACTAAGCCCGCTCTGCGGACTCGTTGAGCGTCATACCTTCTTTTTAGGGTTTTGTGTAGGACCCTGACCAACGGGCAGGTGGTCTTTCTGGTGTGCGTTTGACATCTCAAGGAATCTAGTCACTAATGGCTCTTGTCCATCGGTTGTCGGTTATACGCATTACATGTCGAGCCCGCCGTATCTTCTGCAGTTTGGCGTATAAAAGATGTCTTTGATTTTTGATTGTTGATGTGGGTCGGAGCTTCGAATACCCTTTCTCACATGCGTGATAAAGGGTGCTCCTAGCATCGTCCTTTCAACTGGCGTTTTATTACGCTGAGTGATCTTTCGTGTTGTTTAAGCGGCCACCGCCTTTTCGACGCATACGTTAAGCCAGGAGAACTGTAGAGCCGAAAAGATGGGCATATTCTTTGTTCTTCCACTACATCCTCAGTACTCTTGAAAGCTCTCCAAGATGCTCGCTTCCTCTTGCTCAACTTTGGAGTTACGTGTCAGTTGTTATGTTCACTTTTCGGCCTAAATATACCGAGCATTTGAAGATATTCATTCCGTTGAGGTTGAATGGGTCCTACGAAAGCAATTTTTACGTTATGGACATCGTTTCTGTGAGATTTATTCGAAGATCAATCTTTCCACAGGCTTTGTCAAAATCGGCAAGCATTCGTTTCACCCGGTTAATGATTGGTGTTACAAAAACGATGTCTCTGCAAAGCGAAGACGGTGGAATTTTCCGGACATCTCATCCCATTCCAATATGCGCGTGGTATTCTGAAGGCTGACACTAAATAATTGCGGCAACGTGGTATGACCTTGCCTAACCTCTCTTTCTACGTCTGCTATATCGATAACATTCTGTGTGATTGAGGTTGGTTTTTAAGTTGTTGTTAATATCGTTATAGAATGACAATATTTTGGTCGTGAAATTTTTATATAGGTCGAATTAAATAGTAAAAAAATATCAAGGGTAATTTTTCTGTTCCGGATAGAAGTGTGGAAGTTCACTGGATAATATTATGCTGCTCATGACCTACAAAGAACTCTCGGTTTTTGTTATTATAGGGCACACTGGGAGAATGGCGCATCGTCTTCTTAACGATAGTTGTAATATGTTTGTCAACTGGCGTCTTCTTCCAATTGTTTGGCTCAGGTGTGAACATTGTTATTACGAAAGAACCATAATGGAAGTCTGAAAGCCACACCATAGATATGAGAAAAGTTTGTTCTAATCCATTTACTTCCTCATTAAAATATAATAAGAAGTAGCCAGAAGAATTAAAGAAATGTGTCTTTCTGGCGACTTTCTCTAAAACTCTAAGTAGCTTTCCCACAGGATTTTAGAAGGTTCCTGTAGAAGCGTTCGGTCTGTAACGAATTAAAGTGGACCACTTAACCAATCGGACCATAAGCACACTGGATGGTTTACAACCAGGCAAAGCCTTTTTTGAGTATTTCAAAACCGACCTTCCCTTAACCTCGGAATAGTTTATCTGTATATATGTTCTTAGAGACTGTCCTTTTTTTAAGCCGACACAAGGTTGGTATAGATGTTCTTATTGTTGTTTTTATCTTTGTTCAATCGCTGGCGTTTCGGCAACTTCGCCTACCTCAGAGCCTTGCAGTTGGACCACTCCTGTTTTGTTCACGAAGGATGATCATCATGTGTTTAAATTGTTGAGCTTACAGGAAGTCGATTAATAAATTTTATTCGGCTAACGTTTCAACGTCTTCGTCGTCATCAGCAGTAGCCGTCCTGTATAAAGAGCATCGCCGGGTGAAGTTGCCTCGTTTGAGCAATGCTCCAGTGAAGAAGATGCGGTTCGATACTAAAATGAAGACGCCACATCGAGAAGACGAGCAAGTGTGGTCCATCGAATCCATCGGCTGTGAAGAAGGCGAAAACTTCGAAACTCTAGCTAAATAAAATTTGTTTCTCAACCTCGTGGAGGCTCAACAATTTAAAGACGTCTTGCTTTTTTGAGTGTTAAACGGCATTGTACAGCAAAGTTTCCTCTGTAACATCTGGTAATCCAAAGTGCAATTCTTTATTGGGAATTGCAACTGTTCTGAACATCTGTGGTGGTGAAGTAAACATTTTAATCATAACGTTCCTCAACCATTTTAAATACACAGCTGCTCGGTCCACGAAGTCATCAACAGCAGCCTGTAATAAATTTTCGATAGTACATTCTCGCATGGCACTCTGGATTGTCAGGATAAAAGATTCAGGCAAAAAAAAGTCCGTGGGATTGTAAAAATTCATTGAAATGAGTAGTTTCAGTGTTTAACTAATTAGTGGTGATAACATAGCATCCATAGTCGCGAGGGAAGATTTAGACATTGCCAGTATCCACATTCTAAGCTTCAACGGTATTCAAAACATTTAACAATCGTTTCAGCCGATGTGCAGTCGTGGGATTCGATGCAAAACGAGGAACCGAAGCAAGAACCGATTGAGGGGAAACTATTGGACAACACTTTAGGAACCACAGATGAACCAACGTGATTTCACTGCTATTCGTCCTGCTCTTTACAATTTCGGGTGACAAGACCTACGTTTAAACTGAACATATCTGAATGAAGTGATATGATACACGGGTGTCGAATCGAAGTCCTTCGAGTTGCTGTACTTCGACTCTTGCGGCGACAGAACCACTACACCTTGTTTTTTCCGCGTACGTATTGCGCATGTCTCCCTGATCTCACTCAAGAACAACGCGCATAATGAAGCTAAAAATTGCGGAAGCACTTATATCCTCGGAGCTACTTTAGATCACGACGTGTTTAATAGAATAATAGTGAAAGAGTCTTCAAAAGATGAGGTTTATTGTCCACATTATCCACCACTTCTCCCATGTGAAAAACTTGTGGTCTTGTGTTTAGAATGGCATTATGTCTACTACATTAATATGTTGAAATCTATTTTTATCTGATCAAAGCACAGCCTGAAATTCAATCTGCAATAAATTTTCGATTCTTACATCTTTTTGTATGTCGTTCAGAGGTCTGGATCTAAAATTGGTATCATTCTCTCCCAGATAACAAGACATTCTAAGAAACGAATGTGGACGTAAAGAGTAACAGAACCAAACGAAAGTTTGGAGAGTTTATTGTTGAGCACTAGGGATTAGTTCCTCTGCTTCGTGATCTGCCAATTATTAGGTCGGTGGTCTTGTCCCTGTGTATTTAACATCACATGAGGTCATCTAGCTGAACTTTTTTTTCGCCGGTTAGGGTTTTAGATGCTTCTTATTTGAACCTTATGAGTTTTAACATATGCACATACGCTGTGAGGTTTCCGATCTTTGACTGTTAGCGCAAACTGGGGCTTCGGACTTCTTGTGTAGGACGAGATATTCGTTACGTCATTATTTTCACAGTATAATTCGACACAATTGAGCACTCTTTTATCTGCCCAAACAGCGTCTAGGTTTTCAAGAGCTATATTAGAAAGACCCATAGGGTCGAAAAGATTAGCATACAAAGTCGGCTGGAGTTTCTTCATTAGAGTGATACTCTACTCCATAGGATTCGACTCAGTACAGAAGACCCACATCGCTAGGCTGAGCGGCTGTAGGCAATCCAATCGAATCACTGCTTCTGAAGAAGGCGAAAGGGTCGAGACGTTAGCCGAATAAAATTTTTTAGCAACCTCGTGTTACTTACTTTTTACTTTTACTTTACTTACCTCTCTTGTTTATCCTACTTATCTTACAAAGCTTACCTATCTTACATATTCTAGTTGCCTTACTTATCCTACTGGTGAGGAATACGTTGACGAAAAGGGTAGACCACTCTGCTTCCATGCTAAAGAGCACCTCCAGAAAAACGTGAATGGTCTGAAGATCACAAATAGGCATTGACCCAAGTTAAGCTGAGGTTTTCCTCGAAATCACAACGCTTAACTTCTTACCTACTGCCCGTCATTTCTTCGCGGCATGGTATTATGTGAAATACAACGACATTCTCGTTGATGAGTGATTACTAATGACACCGCTAGCTAGCGTAAAAAACTGACTGAGAGAAAGGCTAAGCAAGGGGTTCAGTGGTGCAGCGGGTAGGTAACACGTTATTCACAGGAAAGGGTAATCGGGAGATCGACTCTGTCCTGAGGTCCAAGTTTTGCAAATATCTCAGCATCATTGTGTTGTTATTTAATAGAGTACCCTGCCTCGAACATATAATGGACGCTAGATTGAAAAGCTAAATATTGGTAGAGA